ACAGATGGAAACTCGGGCTCTCAGAGGTGACTCAGGGTCTTGCATTCGCATAGAGAGGCAAAAGATGCTCAAGAGCATCCTGGCACCCTGAAAAGTGAGCATTCAACAAAACAGCAAGTCTCTCCAAAGGACCGCATCGCTTTTGGTCCAACTGCAGTCCGCAACAGGGCTTCTTAAAGGGAGAGTCAGAAGGAGAAGCCCGAACGGCAACAACTCTGTTTCCAGGCACTCTGAGATAAAACTTCAGAAGAGAGACCAGAACCAGAATTCGAGACAAAAAAAAGGAATGAGTGTTTCAAACCTCCAGCCCAACAGTGAAGTTTTTTTTAACAGAAGGAAACACCTCCCCAAGCCCTTTGTTTCCGGCACACAGCGCGGGGAGCCATGACAGACTCCTGCTTGACACCCCAGCATGTAACCTCACTGCAGCAGCAAAACCGCTGTTACAATAGTGGGCACCCGTACCCCTCAGCAGAGCTGCGAACACAATCACAGATGCTTTGATTGTGACACGACAGCAGCTCCATGCATCGAAACTTCAGTCTCGTTACTGCATTCCTAAACCTACCAGGTTCATCTCTGCGCTGCTCAGAGCCTGCTGCACAGGTCCTGGGACTCGCTGGAACAAGTCAGAGCACAAATCCTCAAATTCTTGCCTTGAGACCTTGGCCTTGAAGTCTATGTCATCTAGCAGCCCCTCAATCTGCCCAGGAAAAAAAAAAAGTCCAACAAGACAGAATGAAATTATTTGTGGAGCATTCTCCAAGCAAAATCTTAGCCTGACTTGCCCCGTGTGCAAAAAGTTCCATCTTTCTTAACACACACCTAGGACCTGAGCGCACTCCTTGGAACTCTGCCACTAAGGTGACGAGAGGATGGGATGTGGACATAGCACAGCTTCTCTCAGCGAAAGTTGATTCACCAAGCTTCAGATGACTAACTCTCATCCAACCCACCCATTTAACCACCAGAGGTACTGAGCGGGCACAAGCTGAGCGGAACTGAGCAGAACCACCAGTGCCGCCAGCAACCCTGGAACCCCAGGAATGATGCTCTTCAGCACAGCCACGCTGCTGAGGGACAGCGTTCCTACACACCCGTCCTCAACCCACCCCACCCTCAGTCCTAAAAAAGCTGGAAACCCTGTGACAGAAGGTCAGACCTGTGCCATGTGGTCAGCATTTGCGCTCAGGACAGTTTTCAGGCGGTTGGCCTCCTTCAGTAGTTTGGCCATGGCCCGGGGATTCTTTCGGACGTCTTTTGAAGGGTGCTGATCATTAAAGAGCTTCGCCAAATAGTCCCGGAGACGAAGCTCCATCTCTAAACCTCCAAGAGTACGGTCAAACCTGAACAAAAGAACGAACGGAGAAGCAACAACTTAAACCGAGTTGAAACAAACAAACTTCACGTACCATTTCACAAATATGCAGAGCAGCAAGTGGCCAAAAGTAGCTGCAGTACTATCAGCTGTGATTGACTGCGAAAGAACAACAGTTGTTCCAAAAATAACACACAATGAAACAAAGAAAAGAAAGATTCACCATCACAATAACCTTTGAGCAGAAAGCTTCGTTACATTTCCAGTAAAGGCCTTATTGCCCAGCACACCAAACAACTGAGACGCCAAAGAGTAACTGTCTCGGGTCCCAGGTATTTTCTTGGAAACAGCAGTATTAATGTTTTGAAGCTAAAATTGCTGGGCTGGCGATGCACAGCACCCCCCCATTTGGCAAACGCCCTGCGTTTTCATTCCTCTCTAGAAGAATATTCTGCTTTTTCAAACTGACACGCTGTATTTCTGTAAGATCATGGAAAATGGAACTACGATAAAATGGCTCGAGGCGATGAAAAAAAAGGAAGCCTGATGCAAATTAAGTATACTGGTTGCCTCCTGGAAGTTCTCACGTACCTTCTGCACAAGACAGCAACACCAGAATTATTACCAGCTGTAGCCTTCTCGCTCCAAACATTTCCCACTGCCACCCAAATTACTGTGCCGAAGCCTCACGGCAAAACTCCACATTTAGAAGAGACTGTGAAACAAATGGTTTCCTTCCTGAGAACTGCGGGTTTTGTGGAACTCATGTTGAATTCTTACCCAATGCCCTGGATCTGCAACTGAGGCTGGGTTCCTGAGTCCTTAGTTTTCACTGTCTGATACGTAACAATAGTACAAACGGTGCTTCCTGCTCCCATGTCGTAAAACATGATATTCTGAAAAGAGAAGCTGGGACAGTGAAGCAGAAACACCTGGATATCCCCCACAGATAAGGAAAGAACCCACCCCTGTCCGAGCTCGATACAGGCCAAGGCTGCCTGCTCCCTAGCCAGGCTTTACACCGCAAGGACAGGACTCGTACTTTGATCAGACACAGGAGACCTTCAGGGTCACGCTTGACAAGCGGACAAGAAAACTTCTCTCATCCATTTCATAGATGAGAAAACAAAGCTTTGCTCTTTAACAGTTTCTTCAAGCTCAGGAAAATCAAGTAGTTCAGAGTCGGTCTTCAGAAACTCGCTAACGTTATTCTCCCCCCATCCCCGACTGACGGGCAAGGAACAAACACAGGTTTACAAAACGGGAACCCCCCAGCCACCTGCCCTCACTCCAGAAGCCTTCAGGCTTCACCACACCTTCACAGAGGGTTTCATCTCCTCCTCTTGTTGACAAGCACAGAAAAACAGAGGAGACCTATCAACCAGCTGAGTCCACTTCCTCACAGTTAGTGCTTTTGACCTTATCTGTGGCACTTTCCACTCCACACACAGGCACTCGCAGGGGACTCTCTGCATCTCCCGACTGCACCTACCTGTGCGGTGGCGTTGATGTCTTTCCTCCTAAAAACTCCATAGTTCAGTGCTACAGCGGTGTTGTCGTTGATCAGCTGCAGCACCTTCAAGTCGGCCATGTGAGCGGCGTGCAGAACTGCTCGCCTCTCTGCCTGGTTGAAGTAGGCAGGAACCGTGATCACCGTGTCCTTGATGGGCTGCTCTGAAAGAGTTGCAAGGGAATGTGCTTTTCCATGGGTTTAGCCACACGCAAAGACTCATTGTAACAGGGTGACATTAGCAAAGCCAGAAAATCCAAGGTAAAGACTCGCACAGAAGGCAATCCTGAAGCAGCATCAGCAGCCAGGATCATCAGGGATTAATCTGTCTGTGTCCCACTGAAACAGAGCAGGCTCTGCAGATTCTCACAAAGCCACCTGTCTACTGACTTCTCTCTCACATGTTAGGTTACTCTCAAATGCTCTGGGATGCCTCAGATTTCAACAAATGTTATCTTTGTGGAGACTTACTCTAGCACCGGATGGTGTTCCCTCTCCAAGTAAAAAGTCCCTGGACTGGCTTCAGTATTACTAACCAAACAACACACAGCTGCTAGTAATGATGCAAGCCAAGCACATCAATGAAATTCACCTGATTTTCATTACTGTGGTATTTCTCTAGCAATCCAGCACAGAAAACACACGACAGTCTCTTATCTGTTTCCAGGTCTCACAATGGGGCACAGTTTTTGCTCTTTAATTGTAGTTCAGCTCCAGCAGCAAGTCACCATCCAGACTAGCTACAACACAGACTTTGACAGAGCCACTTCCATCTTCCCCTGCAGTTACCCACCAATGTGCCTCTGCTCGAGCCCCACACACGAGTGAGGAAGCCCGTAAGGCTCCTGCGCTGCAAGGCTGGGCGGGGTCTGGGGTGCCGACCCCCGAGAACAGGAATAAGACCCCAAACTCACATCATATTAGAAAAAAACAATGACTTCATAGCTGCTCAGTCTTGCTTACAGCCTACAGCTAAAGAGACTCAACCATCCCATTCCTAAAACTCTGTGGATTTTCAGACATTATCTGTGCCTGCTCAAATCCTATAGTGCACAAACGCAAAAACACTGTAAGAAACAGCTAAATCTTTCCAACCTGCAAATTCCTCAGCCAGACCACGTGAATAGTTCAGGACCATCCCCAGCATCTCCTCTGGAGAATACTGTATGGTTCTACGAAAAAAAGACAAGAAATAAAATTACAGCAACAGAGTCAGCTGTAAAATCCCAGTGGCCAAATTCCCACCCACAGGGAGACCAGAGGTAGCCGCTTACTGGGATAGCTTGAAGATAACGGTCTGCCTCTTCTCATCCTTCACCAGTTCATGTTCTGGGAATCGGGACTGGTACAGCGCCACGTGGGGGTTATCAATACGCTTACCCAGCAGATCCTGAAAGTATCTGAATGCCACCTTAGGGGTCCTTATGGACTGTGGAAAGAAATAGCACATCACCCAGCCGCATTTCTTTGGCTCTGCTGTTGTCACACAAACCCCTCCCAAGCTATGCGGTGAACAGCTCTTGTTACGGGAGGTAGGAGCACAAGACCAGTACACAAAGAAGCAGTACAGAAAACCACTAACACACCAAGGAGAAGAGAAACACAGGACAAGAAGTAAAAATATCTAGTTCAGAGATTTATCACAACGGACCCAGCAGGGGGAACACACACTCTGCATAGAGGAACTGCAGCTAGCACAATATGTAACAGCAACTCCTACCATTCCTAGAGCGCTGTCACCAAAGAGACGCTCATTCTCCTTCAAAGAAACAGCCACGGGCGTTTTCCTTCTGGACTCCCTGTGTAGAGAGGAATAAACCAGCTGGAACACGTGAAGGCTCAGTACCGAGTCCCTAGTGAGGAAGGGCGCTGCCTCCGTCTCAGAAAGAATGAGGGAGGGTGCTCGGACACCACCTACAGAAAGGAAAGCCAGCCTCTGCTCGCCTGAAGGGCTGCAGCAGCAGCACCTCCCTTCAGAGCTTTCATATCTCCCAACACTCCTCACGACATGGGCAAACAGCATGCTTCACCAGAACACGGACAGACATCGCTCAGGCAGGTTGTTTTCCTCCCATAACGTGAGAGAACTTAACATGAGGTGACTCATTTCTGCTCCGATTCACGTGCTGGCGCACAAAGGTGAGTATTTCACTATGATAACTATGAGACGGCTCAGATACCCACCGAGCCTAGGGCCTCATAACACGTTATCGATTCTCTGGTGTAAGGCCACAACACCACGGCCTACGGCGAAGAAGAACGGCTCCCAAGCAGCCTTCTCGAGCGCGCTGCTGCATGCTTAGACAACGCTCACTTTACTTCCGCTCTCCTCCAACGGCGAGCGGAGCGGGACGGGCCCTCACTCTACCAACGGCTGCCAAGT